AGAGTTTTGGCCGCCTCCACCGGTCTTCTGGCCCACTGTGCAGCGGCACGTTCACTGCAAGTGGAGGAGTTTGGCGGTACTCTCCGACTTCGGTCACGCCGCTGGGTCTGCCGGGCTCTCTTATCATTCAAGAGAAACTTCTCACAAAGTTTCGCTTTCCGAGGAATCGATTCCCTTTAAATGTGATGGGTCTCGGTCTTAAGGACATTTTCCGAACCATGAAGGTGCCAAGAAAGTTTGGCAACGGTGACACACTGTTGTTCCTTCCAAGATTTGACAAATTTTCCAACCTAGATTTGCACACCTTCAAACAAAATTACAGCATTCCTAGTGCGTCCTTACTTCGGCTGAAATTCCACGTTCCCACTTTTAGTTACAGCACAGCTGACGTCAGTCAGGTGCACTCTACAAACTGAAGTGTGTACTCAGTATGCATCTACAGATGCATACTTGCAAGTACACACCTGCAGATGCATACTTAGCTGAGTACACATCTACAGATGCATACTCAGCTGAGTACACATCTACAGATGCATACTCAGCTGAGTACACATCTGCAGATGCATACTTGGAGAGGTTAGGTATGCATCTGTAGGTGTGTACTCAGCCAAGTATGCATCTGTAGATGTGTACTCAGCTGAGTATGCATCTGTAGATGTGTACTCAGCTGAGTACGCATCTGTAGGTGTGTACTTGCAAGTATGCATCTGTAGATGCATACTGAGTACACACTTCAGTTTGTAGAGGCACTGGAAAAATTTGCCACTTTTGAGGATGACATTTTCATCTCTTTCAAACGATGTCATCCCAAACTGATGACAATTTCATCAGGGCTCCCACACTCATTCCGAGGGCGTAACAGTTGTATTCTCAACAGGTTCGATGACATTTTGGTAAGGGAAGCCTTGAAAGAAGAGGCGTCAACCAAAAATTTCGCAGTGTGGGCGCACGGTCTCGCTGGACGCCTGCGAGTCGCCGGGTAGGCAATGTGGTGGCCGCCGGTGCACTGCGGGCCGGCCTATGCTCACCGTTGCAGGGGCTCCGCGCTGCTCCGCTCTGGTCCCCCCCCCCCCTCCTCCCCGGCCGCGGCCCACCCGAGCCCACGCTGGCAGCCGATGGGGCCGTGCATTAGTAAACAGGCCATCGTTTCAAATTAGATGAGCCCTGATAGTTCTTCTCCATTCAAATTGATAGCCCGTCAGTGCCGCCGAGTATGTGACACTGATGGCCACATTCATAATCATTTATAAGCTCCGCGACTTGCCCCTCACCCCTAAAAATAACAGTTTATTGCAGGCCTTCTGGCCGGAAAATATTACTAAACCAACCGGAAAATCGGCCTGGGAATTTCAGCTGGGTGCGTCTGCGCAGCAGGCTGGGCACAGTGGGCCAGAAGACCGGTGGAGGCGGTCAAAGTCCCGAATGTGTTTTGAGCTCCGGTCGCTAAATTTGACTCGAACCGAACGAGTGCACTGGTAAAACTAAAGCGTAGTATTACCCACTGTTTTCAAGCGCAATCTGGTTACGCTTGAAATCAAGCGTAACAGGCTCATCTGCCAACATTCCCCCTATCTAAATGCATGGGGGAATTTCTAGCCTATGCTTGATTTCAAGCGTAACGTCTTCAAGCGTAACTTTATGCTTGACTCAAGCATAGAGTTACGCTTTAGTTTTACCAGTGTGACCCTACCAAAGGATTGCTCTCTGAACGAGGAACGCAATGGTGGGGTCACACGCTCGGTTCGAGTCCTGTTTAGCGACTCTGGAGCTCAAAACGCATCTAGACTTTTGGCCGCCGGCGCCTGTCTTCTGGCCCACTGTGAGGCGGGGCGGGAGAAGAATGTGGAAGAAGTATCGCGAGGCAAAGAGCCGCTCTCGGTGTCGCCCTCGAGAGCTCTCGTCTCGCCCTCCACCAAAAGTGAGGGCCCTACCCGGCGTGCGGGAGGAGAGGTGGGTTCACGGCCACGGCGCCACGGCACTGCATAGCGGCAAAGGCGACCTGGAGTTGTCTCAAAGAAGGGGAGGAGCTCCGCGGAGAACTTCGAGTACTTTCAGACAAAGAGCGAAGCGCACACTTGAAACTGAAGAGTCAACATGAGGGTTTACGATTGAGGTCAATTTTCATCTACTTGACGGGCACACTGAGATTCCAAACGCTATGAGTAAAGCACGTATGGTGCAATGCAGCTGAGATATCGCACCATACGTGCAATGCCATACACTACAAACCTAACTGTCTACTAAGTACACACTTACAAATGCATGCTTGCAAGTACACACTTACAAACGCATACTTGGCCACGTACACACTTACAAATGCATGCTTGCAAGTACACACTTACAAACGCATGCTTGACGCATGGAGTTATACGGCGTCAAGCATGCGTTTGTAAGTGTGTACTTGCAAGCATGCATTTGTAAGTGTGTACTTGGCCAAGCATGCGTTTGTAAGTGTGTACTTGCAAGCATGCAATTGTAAGTGTGTACTTAGTAGACAGTTAGGTTTGCAGAGTAGCCATATTGCTCCTTACGTGCAATGCGTCCCGAAAATGCCCTATGCTAATGCATGGGAATGGGGAGGCATTGCACTTCATGTGCAATGCTTTTGCATTGCAACAATTGACGCTATACTCATAGCGTTTGGATTCTCAGTGCATGCAGCAAAAAGAAGTGGAAATAAAATGGACATTCTAATGCGCCTGTTATATAGGGTTAATGCCCATTCGTCGTCAAAAATGAGGGTACTCTATTAGCATGCTTGTCAGAAAGACGATTAAAAAAATCATCCTTTTACACTCCTCAGTTTCCAGAGTGAGCAATTATTGTACGGCGAAGAAGAGGCTCCTCGGTTTGAAATTGTACATCTGTATTTTGTGTCAGCGGTTTTCCCGCGTACACCCACCCCCACTTTTTACACCTGTCGTCTCTGGCGAATGTAGACATTCTTATAAACGGCGTCACTTACCTGCTCGGAGCTGTAAACAGGTGGAACAATGCACCACGGTCGCCGAGGATAGTATTTGAGAAGCAATGAGAAAACTTCGAACGAAAGACTCGTGATCATGGCTTAAATTTTGGGGCAAGGGCGGCTTTTGTATACCTAAATTATGGTTCATGTTAAAAATAGTTAAACTTAAGTTTTTTTTATTACCAGAAAGTATGTAGCGGACAGTGTAACAAATAGTTAAGTTGCACTTCCCAGATATAATTCGAACTTCAGTTCCTTCCACCCGGGCATTGACCAATATTTGTGCATGGTAAGAAGTCTCCTCACCCAAATTTGGGTGATGTTCGGTGTTACAGACGCAACCTTCATTCCTGGCCAATATTTGGATGATAAAACCTTCCCTACCCAAATTAGGGTGATAAAATAATCCTTACGAACATTTGAGTAGCAAAGCCTATTTCGACCAAAATATAAACTTCTGATTAGCGCCTGATCGTGAGTCGTTCATTCAGTGAAACTTGGGAACACTCTGCTTTGTCAAACAGAAAGCGACAGCTTGGGCCCTTCCCCCGCAATGACTTCGTGGTCTTTCCCGGAGAGGGCACGCTGAGAGAAGCATTAGCTGGGGAAAACTAGGAATGTGGGTCGCCTGCCCTCGATTTCGTTCAGTGCCCACCGGAGCGCTCACAAATAAACAGTCTCTGCGCTTGAAATGTCAGAAACAGTGCCTTGAAGTTTAGACTACACTCTGAGAAACGGGGTGACCAGAAACTAGTCGCCTTAAGCGCCGGCCCCTCTTTCCAGGGCGCGGAAAGCCGCCCCACCCAGTTTCTGGGCACAAATGTCGCCTGGTCTCGAGGTCCCCAAACCATCCCGCGACTCTGGCCTTCTCCCACGCTAGTGGAGCATGCATGACTCATTTGCTACGGAAAGGCCAATGGGTGCCCTACTCCTGGGCTGGGCAGTGAGGAAGGTGACCAGAATCTGGGCAAGGGGAAGTCACCAAGGGGTTACCCACTCTGGTAATCGTATGTACACTTCGTCCGGTAATCATTGGTGCACACACCAAAACTGGCTAGTTTCGCCGTTTTTATCGGATTTTGGTTTTTCTTAAGAGACTAGGCCAATATGCTCTTAACTGGCCAAAATTATGGAGTTTTTTCAGTATGTTTGTAGGTAATCACTGGTAATCAGTATTCCTGTGTACACTCCTGAGCTGAGTGGTCAACCCCTCGGAAGTCACGGTGAATTTCGGTGTACAAATCCAATGAATTTCAGTCGAATTTCGATGAATTTCTTGCAAACACAACTGAATTTTGAGAAGAATTTGGACGAATTTCGATGAATTTGAAACGTTTGATGAAATTGGGTGTACAAATTTGGCTGGAGTTATTTCCCCTTAAATCTGGGAGCCTTGCTCGCCCAGAAACTTGGCACTTTGGGTTCTGGCAATCCATGGTGGACAAAGCAGATTACAGGATGATGAGGGTACCCCTTTCAGCGGTTTCTATTTTCTGAGCGGAAGAACATCGCGCCTGGAGGATGAATGAATGCACGTAACGATTGCTAGCACACTTCCAGTTGCCTTTGGCGGATCGCACAACCTGCGTGGAATGTGCTGCGTGGTGAATTGGTACCTGTTTGTGAATCCCTACGCTATAATTGAGACCACGGATTTGTGCAATCACAGGCAAATGGCATAATATGCAGTTTACAAAGGGCATCTTTTTGGACACGCTGCACCGCATGAAATGGAGGCGACGCACTTAACGTGTTGACATCGAATTCCTCAAACGGGTGAGAGTTCTGTGGTAAAACTGAACCGTATTGGAACGCTTCATTCAAGTAAACAACAGCCCTGAGAGACTGATACGCTTGCAGTCGAGCGTAGAGAAGAAAATTCTCCCATGCATTATGCATTTAGAGAGGCGGGAGAGGAGTTTAACCGATCGGTTCGCTCGAGGCCAAGAATAGCATTACCACTACGCTTGAAGAAGGCATAACAGTGCGCTTCAGTTGTACCGGTGTTGCAGGGCAGTGCCCCATCACTCACCTCAGAGGAAGTCAAGTAGCACAGTCTGGAGTCGGTGCTCTCGATCGACGCCTGCTGCACGATGCCGTACCGAGTGTCTCTGTCGCTCAGGTAGTCCGACCGAAGCGAGTCTTGCCGGTCCAACATACTCCTGTAATCACACGGTGAATAATTAGCTCAATGTTCCTTACGTACGAATGTCTGATAACCAGTGCAACGGAGAAACGGACCGGGAGGGGAATGTCAAATCATGACAAAATCAACGTAGCGATTTTCGCACACTCGCTTCAAGTCGCACTGTGAAGGGCTGCACTAACACATTATGGTGAACATTTTCTCAATGATGCAAACGAAATTCGTCAAAATATCTATAAGGTACAGTGGTTTCTCAATGGTAAGTTTAACAGAAACCTTCACCTCCATGATAAAGAGACTTTTCACCATAATGTAAAAAATCTGAACAACATTCAGAGTGTAGCTTGACAGATAACTCGCCGTTGATTTATTCAAAAATTGAAAGATTAATGACTTTGTCATGAAGCTCCTAAACTAAAGAAGTGTTGTTTAGGTAAATTATCCTTAAAACGTCCGTTATCCTCGAGTATCGGGTGAGACACCCGGAACTGCCTGGACCAGAGTAATCTCAACCAGAAACACTCCGCGAAAAGCACAACGCATGCCGTAAAAATCACTTGCCAAATTTGAGTGCAAATTGTTAAGCAGCTACCAACATCCTACGCTTAAGAGGGAGAGTGATCTCCAAACTGTGTACATAGTACACTCCACCTGGAGTCAACATGCATGTACACCAACCTGGAGCATACCTGGCATGTACACTCCGACCTGGAGCATACCTGGCATGTACACTCCAACCTGGAGCATACCTGGCATGTACACTCCAACCTGGAGCATACCTAGCATGTACACTCCAGGCGCATACCTGCAGGTATGCTCGGTGTAACACACAAAGAATGGGGAGCTTCAGCAACCGTGTACCTGAAGGTATGCGCCACCTGGCGTGTACTTGGCAGGTACACGCCAACCTGGAATGTACATGCATGTTGACTCCAGGTGGAGTGTACTATGTACACACTTGAGTTTGTAGAGTGGGTTCCATATTGTCGCAGGGTAGGATCGAGGGAAGGTGGACGGGAGAGGGGGTGGGGCGTTGGCAGCTGCGTGGGGTATTGGCGCCGGGCCGGATCGTGCTGCCCCCTGGTGGCCGGCGAGCCACACCCGGCAAGGGGTAGCGACGGCGGCAAACTTTGGGCGGGGCCCTGGCTCTGCCCCGCCGAGGCCAGGGGCAGCAGCCAGGCAGCAGCCCACTTCCCTTTTGTTTCCTCTGTTAAAAATACATTAGAAAATCCCAGACAACTTGTGGGGAAGAAAGCAGCCTCCGATCTTCGGAAAATTGCAAAACTTAAAAGGTTTCTATTAGGAACGAGTTTTGAGTAGATGCAGTACAAAAGAAGTCATTTTGGTTCGCGGCACCGCCGGAAATTCACCAAGAGGCTTCGCTCCGCACTTTACGGGATGTTCCAATTTCTTTTTTAAAGGTGCACCACGCGGTCGACGATCCGGACCTCCAGGAGGGCCCAAGGGAAAATAACTCCAGCCAAATTTGTACACCAAAATTCGTCAAACATTTAAAATTTACTGAAATTCGTGAAAATTCATCGAAATTTGACTGAAATTCATCGAAATTCGACTGAAATTTATCGAAATTCGACTGAAATTCATCGAAATTCGACTGAAATTCATCTAAATTTGGCAGAAATTCATCGAAATTCGACTGAAATTCTTTTGATTTGTACACCGAAATTCACAGTGATTGCCCCTTGGGAGGGCCTACCTCTGGTCGAAGGAGCTGCCCTTGTAGCTCGAGTCGTTGGAGTCGTGGCGCAGCGAGGGCAGCGAGTCCCAGGGCGACCGGCGGTGGCCGCGCTGCAGGCTCATGTGGTGCTGCGGCGGGCCCAGCGTCGACGTCATGGTGGAGGACGTCCCCGAGCCGTAGGCCGAGCTGCCCGAGCGCCAGCCGTCCGAGTGGCGGAACCACTGCGCGCGGGCCGACTCGCCCAGGCAGGACGCGCAGCGGCTGCTGCAGGGGCGAAAAAGAAACACAAACATTAGCGCCCAGATGGTCGTGGGGAACCCTGCACAGTGGGCCACAAACCGCGCAGGCGTCCAAATTTATAGACGCTTCTTGGGCTGGAGCTGCACTTCACCGTAATTCAATGAGTGTGAGATCGTTAGAGTGTCACTTTTGTCACTTTCGTTCGGGTACGACGTCACATTTCTCTGAACGTGACACGGAAGTTGAATTAGGATCGATTGAACGTGGATCAAAATTCAATCGCCACGTAACGAAATGATGTTACATTCGTTGAACAACGGTACGGTGTGCTCGGCTCAGAGCAGGTACCTCGAGTTGTGGTCGCTGAGGTAGCCGCGCTCTCGCTCCCGTTCCCGCTCCCGCTCGCGAGCCAGCTCGTTGCGGTCCGAGTAGTAGCCCTCCCTGGACGAGCCGGGCCGCTCCACGGACAGGCGGTGGGACAGGTGTGCCGGCAAGGTGGAGCACTTGTTGATGCTGGCGGCGGAGCCGGGGCCTGCAAGCACACGGGGCAGCGCTCGGGTAAGACACTCGTACATCAACGCAGGCAATGTAGTCCATTGCCTGCGTCACGCAAGACGAACTAGCAAGGGGAGAGAAGAGAACAAACTACTGCAAAATGGACAGAGTGAGAAGAAGAATGCAGAAGGGAATGGACTGCCATTCAAAGTCAAGAGGCGAACCACTCTCCGCTACTGTGCACACATGATTACAGATTATTTCACGCGATTTCGTACTGCTTTGCTGCACAACTTTGGCCCTACTTTCCGTGTTTGAGGCTCGACTTCCAGGCCGATTACACCTGATTACAGCCAGCCCTTGTACACGGGCATTCGGCAAGTGGTTCACCCCTCGTTCAAAAGTAGGTTTCACATTCATGTCATGGGACACTTTTATAGAAACGACCGTGCATGTCGACCGGCACTTTCCTATAAGAGTGCACAGAAAATCCGAAGAAGATAGACAAGTTGAGGAGAGGAAAAGGAAGGAAATCCGAGCAGGTATTTTCTCATACTTTGGCAAAGCCACCATGCTGCTCTGCTCCGCCTTACTTGCGTTGGCTCAACTTGTCGACGTTCGTCAAGTGCTTTCTACGCTAAAAGTAGGAAAAAGGTAATGTGCGAGTACCATAGGGATGCTTACGTCTTCTGCTGGGATACGGACTGCGGGAATTGACCCCAGGCAGACTTTCGGCGAATTCTGTCAACAAATGAATGACAAATTAGGCTTTCTTTGCAACGGGCTCCATTCAAAAGGCAAGACCATACGGTTAACTAAAGTCTTGGACATTCTGGGAGAACTTGCTGGGCAAACACATTACCTCATACGTTCGGAAAATTCCAGAACCTCCTATGTTTATATCTGGAATGAGTTTCTAGCCGGTTTAGTTCATAAAATCTGATTGAAATGCCAAGACTGGAAATTCCCGAAGCAGCAGCTCCAGGAATTTCCAGTTTATTTTCAACCGTGCACCATTTCAGATTCTAAGACTTTCAGTACTTAATCATGAAAACGAATTTTTAACTCACCCAGGTTTTCCATGCTCTGCGACAACAGGGCCTCAAACGTGTGCAGCGAGTAGCTCTCCGCGTCCATGCCCTTGGCTAACGTGTTACGCAGGTGCATTTCGTACTCCAGCAGCAGCCTACTCGTCGGGGAACCCGAATTGTTGCCGCCCCCGTTGGGTCCGTTGTGGTGACCTGGAAGTAACAAAAAAAAAGACACGTTTATGTTCACGAAAGATTCAATAATTTATTGAGAACTTTACTCAGTCAGAACCTAGAGGCGCTGTTCCAGCTGCGTGCCACGCAGCGCAGAGGCCCGAAAAGCTCTCTGGCGGGTCTGGGCAAGCGCGCGAAAGTCCCTAAACTTCGTCTGACCATCGCACAGGGTCGCATCACAGAGCTCTTCGTGCCGACCGACCCAAAAGTTGGACCGCAGTTGGGCAATTATTGAAAACTCGCAGGACCCACCTGGACGCCGGGGTCCGCTGTGGCTTTGGCTTCCCGGGGGGTTCTCCATGTCCGAGTTGCCGTTGGACGACGACGGCGTGGTGGCGTAGCACTGGTTGTCGAACAGGACGTTGTCCGAGGGCGGCGAGATGTCTCCGCCCATGCCCTGGCCCGGACCCACGCCCACGCTCACCATGCCGGGGGGACCGTTGCGCTCCAGGTCCAGGTACAGGCCGCGGTTCTGGGGGTAGCCGCCACGACCGATCTCGTGCGAGGACCTGCACCAGTAAAATACACTTGATAAGCACAGTAAATGTCTTACGGTGAAAGGCTGCACCAACATATTATGGTGGAGATTTTCTCCATAATACCAACGAAATGCATCAAAATATCTATAAGGTACAGTGAATTCTCAATGGTATGTTACGAAGTCAGCTCCACCACCATAATATGGAACATTTTCACCATAATTTGGAGAATCTTCACTGTAGAACGTTTAGAGTGAGCTCCATTTGCAGATTTAACAACAACTCTGCAAACTCTGTGTACTCACGAGTACACTCCCACGAACGTGTACTCAGCTGCGTACATTTCCTTGGGAACTCAGGTGTGAACTGATCTGAGCACTCTCTCGTTCCGTGTACTCAGCTGAGCACACCCTCGCAGGAGTTACTGTGCAGTACATGTTGAATAGAGTGCACTGAGCAAACTGTTGAGTTTGCAGAGAACGCGATCACACTACTCTCCGCGACACAAGTTCGCATGTGCACACTAAGTCTTTCAGGAACCAAGGTTTGTATGGTAAGGATAGATTTGTGCATCCGTTACGCGGTTATAAGGTTTACTTAATTTGTTCGTCTGTAATACAAAGGTTTGGGTGTGCGTAAGTTGCAAAGAAATCATAGGCTAGTTACGGACACTCAAACACGAGGAACAAAATAATCTGAATACGAATTTCAGCTGTATTGAGACTATACAAACCCTCCATTCGTTAAGACTTTCGTGTGCGGTATTGTGCTTCAAGATTGCCTCCTAGCGTAACAGTAAGCCTGATCTCTAACGAAGTGATCAGCACACATTTGCCTCAACCAGTTAACTGAAGGGCCACGCCGAAAACGGTTCCTGGTTTTCCCAGGAACATATGGGCGATTTTCAGGTAGTTCCTGAGAAAACCAGGACTCGTTTTGCCGAGGTGATATGCTGTAGTAAAAAAATTGCTCGTATCCTCTTACCTTGACGCCGAGAAGCGAGGCGGTGGACGACGCGGGTCCATGGTGTTGTTGTTGAAGTGGTTGTGGTGGTTGTAGTGGTTGTAGCGCCTGCGCGTCATCTCCGGGGACGTCGCCGGACTCTCGTGGGACGTCATGGGTTTGAGCATCCTCTTGAGCGTGTTGGAGTCCACGCCCAGGTTCCCTAAGCACACTGAAAGCTTGTGTCATCACTCCGAACAACACGACACGAGGCGATCCCAATGCGTCAAACATCAGCAGAAAAAGACTTCACTCCGAATAACCGTCAATCCTGGATTGATAGCTGTCCATTATTAGAGGTTAAACCAAATGGAGCCGTTCTTTAGCTGCTGATGATTGTCTTTCGGAGGCTTGAAAAAAAAAACACTAGCACAAAACAGACGAACCTTCTTGGGCCCGCATATCGTCAGTACTCTTGCTCATTTTGTTGGCAGCAGCCGACCTCCTCATACTCTGGAAATTATTGTTGATATTGTTGTTGTTATTATTGTTGTTGTTGTATGCCATATTGTGCTGAGCCGCCCGCAGCTCCGCTTCTCGAACCAGGTCGGCACTGTCCTGGTAGTCCATCGATTTGGTCGCCCTGCGGAGAGAGCGGTGCCACTTAGAACTTTGATTGCACATTGTCGGTTTTTAAACGAGAAACTCGAGAATACGAACTGAAGAATGTGGTGGTGTCGTGGTTTGCCAGAAGTGAGTTCAGACTCTCCCACTTGTGTTCCCTCGCTTTTGCTGCCCTGTTCAACCTGCGGGAAGATTGGAGGCCACGATTAAAAATGAGTCCCACGAAAAATGGGTAAAGAATCAGAATCATATTAGTTCAAAACAGACATCGTTGAGATTTAAAAAAAAGATTCTAGAATGAAAACTCTGCAAATTTTCAAGTTGACCAAATGAAACCTATTCTCAATCTTATGCCAAAATCATTGTGATGCTACTGCGCACTATTACCAACACAATCCTGTGAATCAGACAAAACCAATCCACTTGCACACGCGTGTACATGGGGGTGCCGGGTGCCCCAAACAGGACATGCATCGTGTGAGGGCGGATGGGACTCGAGCTGATGCGTGATACGTGCACGGTGACCAAAGCATGCTCACAGCCACAAGTCAACTTGGATTTGAACCTCAATCTCGGGTCGTCATGGTTTGGGTTATGGACTATTTAACCACACGAAATGTCGTGCACCAAACCATTGACGTGAGCTTAAAATGAGTTAGCAAAACATTCAAGTGAGAAAAATTAGTAACTTAATATTGTTCCAATTTAAAAAGACAAACGGAAACCGGACTTTTCATTAGAAAGGAAAATAGCAAATTTTATGTTCATTATATTAAAGGCGAAATGTACAGGACTGTACGACAAGCGATAATTGTATATTTCTGCTGTAGACTACACTGTAAAAATAAGTCATAACGAAGCACTTTTCTTCATCAAGCCGCCCGGCTTGCACCTAGGTGCATAATCAACCCTATCATTCTGATCTAAATGCATGGAAACGCATGGAAAGTTTCTTGGTGCGCTTCTTCAAGCGAAACGTGAATCTAGAATGAAGCGTAACGTTACGCCTTACTTTTTCCAGTGCCATGAATCACGCAAAGGTGAAGGGAAGGGAAAGTTTGTCAAAACACAAACGCACTCACGAGGCTGCTTAAACCAAGGCCGATCACCTCCTAGCGATACTTTACAGAGAAATATTTTTCAATTCGGTGAGAAAAGGTGAGAGCTCCGAGAGAAACAGCACAAAAATAACTTGAATTTCACACACTAATGTTATGAACAATTTTTGACGAGGCGTCACAGGTTTTTCCTGTAGATGAACTTTTTGTGCGATTTTTATACTAAAAACGGCACATATTTATTTTCTATGTTTGAGAGCAAATTTGAGAGCATTTCTATGTTAGAGAGCAAATTGTGCAAAAAGTTTATATGCTCAAAAATCTGTAACGTCTCGTATAAAGTTTGTGCAAGAACATTTAGTGTATCGGACTAAGTCGTCGTCTCTCAAGTGACGCTTTCTCCCACAGAACCCGACCCTCAAGCTACGGGCTAAGTCTAGGGCCTAAGGCCTACGTACTGAAAAGCCATCTCCCGCCTGCGTCGCAGTGCAGACCTTGCCAGGGGTGGCCTGTGCTCCGACTTGGGCGGTGGTGGTGGTCTCGGTGGAGGCCCTAGCCGCGGGCACGGGCTGCCCTTGCTGGCCGGCCGTCTGGCCGCCCTGCTGGCCCGCCACCTGGCCACCCTGGCCGCGCAGCGTGCCCTGCTGCCCGACTTGGAGGGCGCCCTGGTGGCCCTGCGCGCCCGACGTGCTGGCCCCCATGTTGTCGTACAGGGACGTGCTCGACGTGGCGGCCGCCACCTTGCTGCCCGTGCCCTCGTCCAGGCTGCGCGTCTGGGCGCGCGGCAGCGTGGAGGACGCTGCAGGAGAAACATTCGGTACAATTTGTCAATGCAGTAGGAGAAATAATGAAGGTTGTGGCTGTTAATTCTGATGTCACATCGAAAGAAGGTGTTACACTGAGAATGAAAGAGTCATGATCAATACCCCATTTTGGGCGAGGTTACTTTATGACTCAAATTTGGGCGAGGATTGTTTCCTCGCCCAAAATTGGGAGAGGAAGGGTATCAGCTGCCTATATGGCTCCATAGTATTATGACCCAAATTTGGGTGAGGAAACCTTCCTCACCCAAATTTGGGTAACAAGGATTCCTCGCCCAAAATTTTAGTCATGATCATGACTCTTTCATTCTCAGTGTAACCGTGCCCAGGGGAACAGCAGACTGTACGTCAACGAACGGAATTCACTGTACCCCGGAAACCTTGGAAAATCTTCAGAAACTGCGTACAGTATAAGAAAGGCAAAATTCCAAATTCGTGATAGAAACGATTCGATGTCGGAAATGAATTCAACTTAACAAGACACAAAGACTGACAAGCATGTCATGGGCTCAGACTCGAAATTCAACAGCAATCGGCGTCAAAAGTCTAAAAACGTAAGATTTTGGACCGCAATTTTCTAAGTTTGATATTTCGGATTTCAAAATCCTTCTTTTTTAGACTTCTGACGCCGATTGCTGGTAAGCGCCAGAGTGGCATCAGAATTCACAGCCACAAGCTTCATTTTTTTCCTCAAGTGCACTGAGAAAACCGTACAAACTATTTTGGGCCTTACAAAGAAAAGTAGTTTGTATAACGAAGTATTTTGAGCATACGCAAGCTTACAAAGAAAATACTTCGTAATTTACGAACCATTTCTTCGAATAACAAAGTATTTTAGTTTGTTATATGTATGCTCAAAATACTTCGTAAGGTTTTAAGAGTGTGTGGCGCTATTTGGGAAATCACCTCTGTAGCGAGGGTCCTGCGCCCGGAGGCGCGCGTACTGCTCCGGCGTCATGCACGTGCACTGCGGCTCCCTCGCCCGCGACGGAGACGCCGGCGTGGACACGGGCTTGCGCTTCACCTTGACCTTCTGCTTGTTCGGCGGTTCCAGCTTGAGCGAGTACGAGGACGACGCCTTCCTCGAGAACTTGAACGACGGCGACTGCAACACGGACAGGAACATGTGGGTCCCGAGGCTGCGTCCTCGAGTCGCGGTGGTGCGGAGGAGAGCTCAGGAGCAAAGGTTTGCCAGAGGAGCACACTTTGAAGGAGTCTGAGAAGCATTTGCTTTGCAAACTACCAAGAAACTGGAGACATTGTAGAATTGCTTCATACTCGTATTATAAAGAGAAGTTTCGAGTAAAGATTTTGCTTCATACTACGATACTTTTCCTCGTAGATTTTACAGTGCCTCCATTCGCTTCGTATTACGGAGCGATGCTTCGGAAACTCTTTTTCAGTGCAGTGGCGGGTCACGTGATGCTGAACGGAAGAAAGGAATTGAATCACCGAGTCGCTTTCTTTGAAGGGAAAAGAGCTACTGCTTGCGAGCCGATCGCCCATTTGCGTGCAGATTACAACTCTGCTTTGATTACTGACTTCACAAAGGCGGTCTCGGGGCGATGTGCAACTGAGCAGCGGTGAGAATAGGCAAACTTGGACTGCTTCTACAAACTGAGCTTCCTGGCCTTACCACTGCGACTACCAAGCGAATCGGAAATTACTCATAGTAATGTATAGCGAGCACCACAAAATAAAGGCTATCTTTCAAACTTGGCTGCCAACATTCCCAGTAAAAATTCCAACATTCCAACGACCAAGCTAAAATATGTCAACGCCAATTCTACAGACAAACCTTTTTAACTAAAAGTTTATCGCGGTCAAAGACCATTCATTCATTGTTTACAACGGTAGGACTGGCAGTCAGTAAAAAGCTGTTGTTTTAGCCTTAATTTCACAGGCACTCCCACTTATAATTTGCGGTTTTGCTGTTTTAGTCAAATTTCTCAAAATCATCACATCAGATTATCATTCCACCTGGAATCCAGTCCTACGCCACGGACGCATTCATATTTAGAGGTGCCTTTTTATCGAAAAAGGTGTATCCATGCAGTATTACAAGTACCGATACACAACGATACTGTTTATTTAACAATATTGGTATTCAATTTATTCCATTTTCACCTAATTTAAATTTGTGTTTTGAAAAACAAAAAGCATCGAACAAACAACTAGCAATGAGATAGAAAATATTACATGCACAAACTGGCGTTTAGATGTCGTCGTACACAGACACCATGCCAAAAGTAACGATAAGAAATGTAACAATACTGTGACTTGTTAGACAAACACTACATGATACAGTTTGAGTCCAGACGCCCAACATCAAAAGAACAAATTATGAGCGAGTATGGTTAATTTAATTGTTCTCCACCGTCGTCGTGACATGTATATTGATACCAGGTTTGTCCTGTGGGGAACAGATGGCCTGTGGCAAGAGAAATATTCGGGGCTCGAGTCCTATTTGATTGTTACAAGGAGCTGGGGCACATTCTGCAAGAAGGGGATGAGCATTCTAGCCAACAGCCCGGGCCTGAGTCACCAGAACCCACACTTCACCAGCTCGATGAAAGATGCTTCCTGCCGAGAGGGGCCTTGCGGGCAACGGAGAATGTAGCGGACAGAAACGGAGTACAGGGGTTTCGTACAAACGAAGGGCATGTCCATTTGGGTCGGGTCGTATCAAAGCAGACGTGAGGGTTGTGCTTAAATCTAAGGGGATGCTCATGGACTTCATCGGGATCTGCCGAGCGATTCTGAAGTGTCGTTTAGTCGCTTTGTCTCTCTCACACCCTCCGGGACGACCCCACGAAAGCGAAAGAGAAATCAGCGACGACACCTCGGGATCACGTCGCAGACAGTGGGTTACTAAAATGCATGGGAAAATTGGTGTGTTTAGGGTCTTTTAAGAGAAACGTGGTACTGTTAGAGTGATTTTGGACAGCCACCTGAAATGGGTGGCTGAGGGGCGGGGTTAAAATTAAAAGTTGAAACGAAATCATGGACAAAATGACAAACAAATGAATCTGAATCTGTACTGACTGGGCAATGATAATAGTGCACGAGGGCTTTCGGTGCGGTAGAAATAGAGTGTTGTGCATTCACCAAGGGAGAGGAAGCATTGTCTCTAAAGTCATCTACTCCGAAAAAGGTATCGACAATACGTCACACAGCAAAAAAAAAAAGAAAGGAACATGTCGTGCAGGATTGGAAATGCCAAACGAAAAATAAAGTTAAATCCATCGTCCCCCACACCAGAGAGAAAGAGAACGACAGAACCTCAAAAATTCTACATGCAAGCGACGGGCGCGGCGAGCGTGCCCAAACAATTCGTTTAAAAACAATTTCCGGAAACAAAAGCGCAAGGCTCGGCAAGGCCGGGACAAAAATAAGATCGAAGTGTGCCATTTCGTTTCACGTGTTCTCTTTCCACCGCGCAGCTATTCATCGAACAGTATTGTTCCGCGCAGGCAGTCGGCCGGTCTGGTGTGAGGGACGTTTTCCGAAATAATAACAGAACGACGCCCTGATTCGGACCGGGAGGCATTGCAGGGACGCCGCGAGGCGGGGTCGCGAAACCCTGTTGCTCGCGGCCCCGCCCCGCGCCGCCCCGCCCCGCCTTCTTGGGTGTGCCGTGCTCTCCAGGCCCTCTGCATTTACAGTGCCACGCCCGGGGCGCGGCCAGCCCGGGACTTGGAAAGCACGCCGTGGCCTCAGGTCTCAAACGACTTTCTTTTCATTCAGAGAGGGAGAAGGTTTTACTCGGTTTGCTCCAAACGGAGTGAAGATGGCTGATTAGCATGGCTATAGTGAAGCCATGTCCATGCCACGCCAGCAAATACAAGTACTCTGTGCAAAGGAAATGAACTAATCTTGAATGAAAGCATAGGTCAACTGGATCTCGGCAGATTACTTTACATGAGATACAAGACACTTTAAAAAAAATCTCACAACTTAAGCAGTTGATCTTACTGCAACCGATAAGATAAACAAAATCAATCTGGCCGTGTTGTTGTGAATTTTACTTGAGACTGCCCTCAAGCCCTCAAAACTCAGAAATGCATTTACTATGCATTTTCTTTCCCTGGATGGCTTTCACTTCTCTGGAGATGATGAAAGTATCCAGCATTCGTTGCAGAGTCCTGAGGCCAACAAAGACTGCCCCGCCCTGAAAAGTGGACTCTTCAAACAAGCACACAAAGAAAACCCGGAATGCAGAATCTGTCTCTTAGCTCAGCTAACGCTCAAACTCCAAAAATAAAGTAAAAGCACTGTTTACGCAATCTGAACCCAGGGATATGTACACAAGGTGAACGCGGTCTCGAACTTTCGTGCGTCGTTGTTGGCACAAGTTTGTCAATTCTTTTATGAACGCAGTGGGTGCCACTTCTGTTGGAAATCTGACAAGACTGCCGCGTCCCTTCCGGCGGAAATGCGCTTGTTTCAAGAGTCGACCTCTGAGGGGGCGGCTCTGGCCCGCCAGCCCGGTCCTTAGGGTCATGCCAAGGTATTTCTGCCCCTCCTGCCCTGCAGGCCTGCTCTCAAGGATTACATGTGTGGTGCTCTGGGCACGGCTGGGTGCGCGGCTCGGCGCGTTGGAGGAGTGGGCCGACCCGCTGGCGTTGCGACTCAGTGGGGCGGAGGCCATGCTGCGGCAACGCGGACCCCTGATACTCACGCAGCACTCGCGGAACTGCTTCGCGTCGATGGGCGACGTGAAGTTCAGTCCCCACGTGTCGTTCGTCATCGGGTCCTTCCAGTACACGAAGCATTCGGACGCCTGCCCGATGCGGGTGCCTGCCGAACAAAGACAAAGTCATTTCACGCATCGACCACCCGATTGGTTATTGCCGACACCAACTTCTGCTGCGGTGGCAGCCCGACCGACGCAGCGATCCCGACACTGTAATTCTAAGGGTGAGACATTTCACCAATTTTCGGCGATATAAAATGTATCACCGAAAAAAGGGTCGTACGCAAATGTATCACCGGCAGAAAGGCGAGACATCAACGAGATTGGCCCTTGTTTTTCTGAGGAAGTATCACCCCTTTTCGGTGATACATTTGTGTACGACCTTTTTTCCAGTGACACATTCGTGTACTACCTTGTTTTTGGTGATACATGCGTGTACGACCGTTTTTACGATGATACATTTTAGTATCACCCTTTTTCGGTGAGACAGTTATGTCGCACCCCTCAGAGAGTGGGATGTATCACTATTTGATTTTCAGTGGAACCACACCCCCACGGCAGGTACGCCACATAAGATAATGATTGAGAACGCAATGTTTCCCTTAAATCGGGGACCTAATGTGCCCGATCTACTGCCCCCTGAAAGGGACGGCCGTTGATTAGGTTACGCAGTTTGGAGGAAAGATATCACCTGCGTAACACTGCGCACATTTCAACAGAGTAAGCAATATTAACAGGTACACATCGCGTTCGAGGTTTAAAAAGACCTGCGTATACGCAGTTTATATTATATAGTTATATACTATATTATATATTTATAACAGTACGGGGAGCGCAAGGACTGGGCGTAACAAAACGTTACGGGGGGGAGGACGTAACGCAATAAGATACTTCGCAGAGGGACTGAGACGGAAGTTGAGAAGAAATCAAGAACAACAAAGTAAAGTCCGCACTTGTATGAGACTTTAGCTCTACAGATACAGCAGTGCGGCGACAAAAACGTTCACTTTCCCGAATAATACGTCATTTCTTCTTCTTGTATTCTTTTCAACTTCCGTTCCAGCCCTTCTCCGAAATTCCATATTCCCATGAAGGAGGCTAATAGGGTACTTCGAAGAAGAGCTGAACCGGAAGTTGAGAAGAAATCAAGAAGAACAAGCGCCGGACTTGTATGAGAATATAACTCTGCGGAAGCGGCAGAACGGCGACGCAGACGCTCATTCTCTTAAATTTCGCATACTTTGTTCTTCTTGATTTCTTCTCAACTTCCGCTCCAGCTCTTCTCCGAAGTACCCTATTTTGAGCTAAAAGTTCCACAAGGCTTCCGGTTTTGTTCTTCCTCTTGTTCTTCGATCGGCAACGACAAGTGTTACGCTGTTTACAGTGGATAAGGAAGGTTGCTGACGAAACTCACCTGGCTGCACTAACCGTACGTCGAGAATTTTGTCGACCTGGCTGTTGTAGGCCGTTATGTGGAACACGCATTCTGGTTGGTCTTGGATGCACGTGATGTTGACGGGGACCAGATCTTCCGAAACTTGCTGCCACTTGACGGTCCCCGCCCCAGAGGCACTCACGTGGAAGACCTCCGCCCATAGTCTGGGGGCAGACGCAAGTTGGATTAGGCAAACAGTCAACTTGACACCACAAGTACGTAGCGCAAATCGAAATTCAGTCGTGTAACTAAGAGTATTTTAAAGAGGTAATCAGAAAGAGGGTCGAAAAAAGGCACTCAGCACTTTCTCATGGACGTATGAGAAATTCAGCAGTCAAATCAATATAGACCATAGATTGGTTGACTCACTAAGTTTCCTATGAATTCTTGACTAAAATTAAGACCTGCACTCTTAATTTCTTTCAATTAAATATGGGCTATAGTTCGGCAAATGCGGTGCAAGCTTAATATTAAGGGAAATTTCTCTGAAGTAAGAATCTTATTTGGATTTTCGTTCAAAAAAAGTGTTCGTCTTCAGAAAGTCTTCGGAAACCTACGTTCTCGTTAGGCTTGGTTCATTTCCTTGCAGTGTGAGAAATAGACGCTTTCGCTCTTCGCCTAGTAAAAAAACAAAAGTAATCGAAAAGCCAGGAACCAGTATAGGCACGTTCCGACTGGTTCCTGGCTTTTTGATCGCTTTTGTTCTTCACTCGGCGACGAGCGAAGGCGTCTATTCCTATACGAAAGACATGAAGTGATAAAACTAACAGTTTACGTTATTTTCTTATTCCTCTTTTTTTTAACAGTGTACTGGAAGTGTTACCTGAGAAGGTGGCCGTCCCGTCGGCGAGCGCCCTGCCATGGTGAGTCCTCGTAGCGGTACGCCTTCCGTATGAGCGGCGCGCAGGAGCAGCTTAGCTTGTTACCCATCGCGTCGACTGCTCCCCCCTGCTGCCGTCACCACATGTCCCCGCCCGGCTGCAACACACCAGGCAAAAACAGCCATTAGACCTTCATTTTTGGCACTGCTTCCGAAGGCTTATGGGCAAATGACGTCAAAGCGAGGGGTCAGCAACTTCCCTTGGCCGTGTACGGGGGAGTATACGTATATTACAAGTAATATAGGTAATATATGTGTAATATAAAATAATACAAAGTAATATATAGTAATATAGGGGTATTACAGAGGCGAAATTGTGGTAATATGCAAGTAATATATGGTAAAATACAGGTGATATACGGGTAATATAGCCACCGCGTACGAAGTAATATATGAGTTGCCAACCCCTCGCGTCAAAGTTTTGGTTTAAAAAAAACCGACAACGATCGATGAAACGTCATAAACCAGTTCGTTCTCTAATTCAAATTTTAAATTGTAAGATGATCGCAAAGTCCCCTCGCTATTTGATTTTTAACCACTGAAAGTTCAAGGAGAACGAAACGAAACTGAGATCAAAGTTAGTAAGGTTTGGTCAAATTGAATCGTAAGTCCGTATATCCCCTGCACACTGTGGCAAAAAGGTACAGAAAATCCTGTTAATTTTTTTGCCAGGATTCTCCGTAGCCCTCTTATCGACACCTGTAAGGAAAAGGCACGCAGTAGCGGCCGCGCGATCCAAAAGGCGCTCAGTTGCGGCCCTGCGATCTGAAAGGCACGCAGTTTGCCGCGCGCGATCCAAAAGGCACTCAGTTTGCTCCGCGCGATCCAAAAGACACGCAGTTTATGGCTGGCGGCCGGCAAACTGCGTGTCTTTTGGATCGCGCGGGGCAAACTGAGTGCCTTTTGGATCGCGCGAGGCAAACTGCGTGCCTTTCAGATCGCAGGGCCGCAACTGAGCGCCTTTTGGATCGCGCGGCCGCTACTGCGTGCCTTTTCCTTACAGGTGTCGTTATCAATATTCTCCGTAGGCTCTTACAGTATTCTCCGTAGGGCCGCACAGTATTCTCTGTAAATCCGCACAGTCTTCTCCGTAGGACCTCGAAGACTGTATAGTCCTACGGAGATCACTGTGCGGTCCTACGGAGAATACTGTGCGGTCCTACAGAAAATACTGTAAGAGCCTACGGAGAATATTGATAAGGGGCCTACGGAGAATTACCACAAGCTGTTTACAGGATTTTCCGTAGCTTTTTGCCACAGTGCAAGAATGAAAATTTTAAAACTCAACAACATGTCGATTCTAGCTTGCTATTGGGATAGCTAAATCTATTCAAATCATCGGTATGCTGGGCAGAATAAGTCACGAGTTAACGTGAGAGTCGTCGTCGTAAACTATGTAACAGCAGGGCGCTCAAACTTTACACTTTTGCAATTGTTATTTCTGCATATCTTAAACGGCTACAGATAGCCAAGTTATGCATAAGGATGGCCCCATTTCAAATTGAATTTTAGATTTGGTCGTTCTTTTGAATAACTTGACAATCTCTAGCCGTTTTTACGGGATCCATACAGACCGTTGATTGCAAAAGTGCAACGTTTGCGCGCTCCAAAAAGCGTCACGTGACGTTCCCCGAACCTTGGTTTGTGTTTCTGATCCTTTGCCACGCCCCGCCGGCCCCACCCCGCCGCCACGGACACGCCAACGACAGTTGCCATTGCCAATAAGGCCTCGACGCTTGGTCTTCCTCCCTCCATCCCCCTCCCCCTTCCTCTGCCAAGCCAGTCCCATCCCGGATTCCCTGCGTTTAATTTTCACCGTTCTTGCTCCCCTCCGTCGTCACCACGTACTTTTCCCCCTCACTGTGTGCCAATGCCTCCTCCCCCTCCGACCTACTTATTCTTTCTGTGTGCCAATGCTTTATTCGTACCTCCTCCAGAATCCTCTAGGACCTTCGCGCGCGTTCCAGGCGACAAAGCACGCGCTTCGAGAGTGGCTGGGGGACGCTGCCTTGGAGAGCGGCACCAGGCCGAGATTTTCGTTACTGTTACATTTACTGCCCACTTCTCAACCTTCAGAGGTTGAGGCAACATTTTATCAATCGTGGTAGAATTTTAAGACGGTCGTTCCTTTGTAGATGATACCTCTATCACTGCAAAGCCTGGTATAACTTTGCTTGGCAAGCTTGCCCCGGAAATACTCAGCAACTGGTCTAAATTTGGCAAGCTTTTGAGGATTTTCGGTCAAAGCTTGCCAAGTTTTGGCATTAAAAACGGGTTGCCAACTTTGTGGCAAGCAAACTTACCACTGGCTTTGCAGTGATCTCAAATATACGAAGAAAAGTGCAATATGGCAGCACATTTGATTGTCAGCTTGCACTTGTTTTTTAACATAATAGTCAAGACGGACTTGCAAACGAACCGCGCGACGCGAAACGTGTTTCTGCTTTATTTATCCGCAGCAGCCGCTGTCTGGCGGTCTTGGGTTCGAAAGTGTGCGTGTTGGTTCGTCCCGGCGACCCCATCAACTCCTCTCCCTTGTCGCTTCGGGTTCCCCACCCCTTCTGGTTTGGCTCTCTGGGGCCGCCTGTCACTGCTGGACCGTCTCCCCCTCCCCCTCCCCCCACCCCACACGCAGCCCCGCCGAATTCACTATTCAAATTGGCATCCACACATGGGACCGCACATGAGTTGCAGCTCTGTGACGAGGGCCTTCCTCCCCTCCCCCCGCCCAGCCTCGCCAAGTGATACCAGCAGGGGCTGGCGATGCTGGCAACAGGGTGCCCCGCGCCTCGTAGCATGCGGCAGCGACGCTTTTCTCACTAAACTTCCCGGCGAATTTCACTTTGCAGTTGTAAAATCCACCACGCGGTCCACCCGTCACGAATTGGAAATGGGCGGCGAAGAGTAAACACTGCACTGAGAATCGAAACGCTTTTAGTAGAGCGCACACTCTCATTCCAGGAACGTGACATCACGTTGAAACGAACGTGACAGACTGTCACGTTCGTTTGAGCATTGTGTCACATTCGTTTGGGTGTGAATTGGCCGAAAATCAGCTCGTTCACATTCAAACGAACGTGACACAATGCTCAAACGAACGTGACACTTTGTCACGTTCGTTTCAACGTGATGTCACGTTCCTGGAATGAGAGTGCAATGCTACTACTTAAGTACGCAAAAATTCATACCACGCACCAGTGCAGTAAGGGTTGCCAACCTCAGCCTGCCTACTTCGCAACTTCTCGATACCGAAGACAACATATTGCCCAGTGGACTGGGTGAGGTTGGCAACCCTCTCTGCACTAGTGAATTGTGGGAAATTTTGCCAATGGATGTGGAGGCTGTGGTAGCGTCAGTGAGTGCAAAGTGTTGGAATCCGTTTGGCGCAATGCTTTGCAGCATATGGGGCATTTTCGGCGACTGCGCCTTGGAAGGTACGGAAAAAGTCGCACTTTGCCCCTGTAAATAAGCAACTTTCGCGTAACCTACAGCAGTTTCATCCCTCGAAATTCACCCCCTTTCTTTAATGCCTCACCAGTGTGCGGTTGTTGTGGCTCCGACACAATGTCAAAGTTTTAGTGGTCACGTAATGACAGTATCCAAAGAAATTGCCCTTACAAGAATGTAACCAAACAGGTTGATGACACTGATTGGTGCAATAGTTCATGCAATAAGTACGTAAAGGAGCTCTTCAAAAAGCCATAAGTTTGTTATGTTTTGTCTCATTTGAAAGATATGATAAACATGTCATCATTTGCAAGGCATAAACATGCCATCGACTATTTTGTCATAAACTAACAACAAATTTTGACAGTATACTGTTGGAGTTCGCAAAACGACTTCTCGTCTAGCTAAACACTCTAAATGTTCTACAGTGAAGATTCTCCATATCATGGTGAAAATGTTCCATATTATGGTGGTTGCAGCTGACTTCGTAACATACCATTGAGAATTCACTGTACCTTACAGATATTTTGACGACTTTCGTTTGGTATCATGGAGAAAATCTTAACCATAATATGTTGGTGCAGCCTTTCACCGCAAGACATCTACTGTGAATGCAATCGCAATTGAATGCAATCGCGTTATCAAACTCACCGTGTATGCCTTGTTGCAGCCGCACTCCGCCGCGCCGCCAGCCACCTGCAACACAAAACGGCGTTAGGTTAGGTTCGGTCCGACAAGGCCTCGCCTGGCCTCGCCTCGAATTGCCGCGGTTGGGCGCGGGCCAAGGAGAGGCCGCGCGCTGGAAGAAGGGAGAGAGAGAGAAAGGGCCCGGGGGGGGAGAGAGAGAGAGAGAGAGAGAGAGAGAGAGATTGAGAGAGAGACGGGCGGCGAAAGCTGGAGAGGAAAAAGGGGGTGGGGCGAGGACACACGCCAAGGAGTCAGGAAGGGTAGCACCGGGGACGGTTTCGTGTAACGGCTATCAATGGCAAGAGCCATCTATCACGCTGCAAAGAGGGCAAAGCACACAGCACGTTGTCACAATTTAATTCGGCGTGGTGTGCTTATTCGCCTCTACCCTGCGCAGCGAGTTGCACAGTGGGCCAGAAGACCGGTGGAGGCGGCCAGAAGTCTAGACGCGTTTTGAGCTCCAGAGTCGCTAAACGGGACTCGAACCGAACGTGTGACCCAACCAATGGATTGCTTTCCGAACGAGGAATGCATTGGTGGGGTCACACGCCATGTTCGAGTCCCAGTTGGCGATTCTGGAGCTCAAAACGCGTCTAGAATTTTGGCCGCCCCCTCCGTTCCTCTGGCCCACTGTGAGTTGCTGTGCTTTGATTCGCCAGTACTTGTGATAGCTCGGATTTCATTTTAAGGCATCTAGAGGGAACACTAAGAGGAGCTGGACGGTGCACGGCGCTGCGTGAAGCGAATTCACTTCACGCCTTGCGCTCCTGTCTCTGCAGCACTGACTGCGTTCCGGACGCGTTATTAGGGGTTCCGACGAAGGAGGACCCCTATTGCCCGGGACGGAAAAAATTTTTTCTTCCGCCGACGCCAATCTAAAAATGGTTTCCGCCAAATTATTCCTTATCGTAAAAAAATAAAAATTCCTGAAAATTTCGAAAATTTATCGTAAGAATTTAACGTAAACGACAAAAACATAAATTTGCAACAATGAAGCACCCTTATCCCTTCACATTTTCCAGAAACGTTTCAAAGACAAAATGTGCTACTCCCCAAAACTAAGCATCCTGACTCATCAAAGGGACAAAAAATCATCTGTGTTTTAAGAAAATGGTTAAAACATGAAAAAAAATCTCCATGGCAACGACACAGTGCCATCGTACCAACTGTCAAAATTTAAAGTCGCTGATAAAAAGAAATCGAAACGCCGTCAAATTCGAAAATGCCAATGCTAACGCATTGCACCGTGTCGCGACATTGGAACATCTTTGAAGTCTGTCAGTAAAAAGTTCGTAGCAGAAAAGACGCAATAAATTAATTTTCGGGGGTTGGCAACAATTTTGTCGGCGTCTGCGCCCTTTCGAAAATCGCGGGGCTGAAAAAACGAGTAGTCGCGCATTGAAACTGCCCTTCCATTGTTGCTGAGGTTGGATTGTTTGGCTTGCTTTTAAAGGTTGCGGTTCTCTTGTGATGTTTTCCTCAATTCTGTAATCAGCACGACGGTTGGTTTGACAAATTATATAAACTCGGAACGCACATGACTTTCGTTTGGCGAACATGAGCACTGTAAGTCGCGAGATCGCGAGATGGCCTGAGATGGCCATTGTGTTAACTGAATCAGGTTTGGGATGTAAAAATACCGGTAGGATTCAAAGTTACGTAAACAACGGTAAAATTAACGTAATTAACGTTTAGACGACAGACTCCAAATTGATTTCCACAACCGGAACACCGTGCAATGCGATAGCATTGGAATTTTTGACAGCCTGCTGAACGTTTCTAATAAAGGAATCCAAAGGCATCCGTCGTGCAAGAGCTGCACCTTGGGAAGGGGCTCTGCCGACACTGCAAGAAAAAGTGTGGATAGTACAACAAAAGTACAACAAAAACTGTACAATAAAAGTACAACAGGGATTGTGGAAAGTGCAACGAGAATTGTACAAACCACAACGAGCCCTCGACTGCACAGCACTCGTCATGCCGGTTCAATTGTACTTTGTACAACAATTGTTGTACTTGAAAAGTACACAAAATTCTTGACAGAAATTTGTGTACTTTTGTTGTGGTTATTTCCTGCAGTGGACAGGCAGCTTCAAGGCTCGGAACGGAGATCGCACGAAGTGCAACGACTTTTACGCGCAGAAATCTGTCGTACAATTTTACTGCAAATTCTTCCAAATTTATACGAATGGCCCGTATGCACGAATTTGTGAGATACTTCGTATGAAAATTGTTAAAGTTAGGTGTGCGACGAAAGGGGAGAGCTGATGAGTAAGGTTGGACAAACTCAAGGATGTGAAAAGCTGATTTAGTCGAGGTTACTAACGGTGGTATGAGCGAGGGTATGAGTCGAGTATCTTTTCTCTCGCTTTCTCGCTGATCTCCTGCAAGTAACCGCAACGAGATGCTAACGTTAACAGTGAAAGGAGCGTCGCAGGCATGCGACACGTGCACAAGCTTTGACAAAACTGGAACCAGATTTTAAATCGCTGTTTACAGTTCAACATCAGTTCCAGTCGTCGCCGAGCAAAGAACAAATGTAATCAAAAAGCCAGGAACCAGTAGGTACGTTCCTAATTGTTCCTGGCTTCTTTTGATTACTTTCGTTCTGCACTCGGCGACGACTGAAAGGGTCTATCCAGCTTGAAAACGCACTCCGCTAACGAGATGCACGGTATGTGAGGTTTTTCATTCGTCCCAGAAGGGCAGGCTTGGCGGCTGGCCTTTTAACGCAAGACGTTGACGCCATTTTGTTTCATTTGCACTGCATTCGGTGTCCGCCGCGCCGAGCCAGCCCGAGCTTTGGGCCCATGAACACACCGCATAGTCCACACCGCAGATTAGGTGGGGCGAGTCCATGTTGGCGGCGGGCACGGCGGAGCCACGCACAGTGGGCCAGAAGACCGGTGAAGGCGGACAAAACTCTAGACGCGTTTTGAGCTCCAGAGTCGCTAAACGGGACTCGAACCGAACGTGTGACCCCACCAATGGATTGCTCTCAGAACGAGGAATCCATTGGTGGGGTCACACGTTCGGTTCGAGTCCCTTTTAGCGACTCTGCAGCTCAAAACGCGTCTAGAGTTTTGGCCACTCCGCCGGTCTTCTGGCCCACTGCGCCACGCCGGAGCTACGCCGGAGCACGGCCGGTAAAGCGAGCAGAGAGCAGAGCGGTGGCGGGTGGCACCAGCCCCGGGACCAGCCCTGGGACCAGCCGCTGCACCAGTCAGTCTGCAGGCCCGTTCCAAACTGGCAACTCGTGGCTCTGTCTCTCTCGCACCCGTGTGACCTCCCGTAAGGGTGCGAGGAAGGCAGAGCGACGATGTCACTGCTGTGGTCCAGCCTGCCCGTCAGGATGCCACCGCCCTGATACGACGGGAAGGTTGTTATGGTGTCGCGTAGGCCGCGTGCCAGTTTGGGAATGCCGCGATGTCAGCCGTGCCTTGCCCTGCCTGGCCTTCCCTGTGACTAGCCCTGCATGTGACTGGCCTTGCCTGTGACTGTGCCTGGCCCCGCCTGTGACTGGCCTTGCCTGTGACTGTGCCTGCCCTTGCCTGTGACGATGTCCTTGCCAACTTATGCCTGGACTTGCGTGGCCCTGCCTGTGACGACTCTTGCCTACTATGCCTGGCCTTGCCTGTGACTGTGCCTGGCCCTGCCTGTGACTGTGCCTGGCCCTGCCTGTGCCTGGCTTCTCCTGTGACTGTGCCTGGCCCTGCCTGTGCCTGGCTTCTCCTGTGACTGTGCCTGGCCCCGCCTGTGACTGGCCTTGCCTGTTACTATGCCTGGCCCTGCCTGTGGCTGTGCCTGGCCCCGCCTGTGCCTGGCCCTGCCCGCGGCCCACAGCACGGCCCACCGTCTGGCTGCCTCATCAGTGTCGAGCATTCTTAAGGGACCGCCTATACGGACGGGCGAAGGGGTGGGGAACGGGTGGAAATCCTGCGGGTCATCGTTCCCTCGTTCGATGCGACGGTTAGGTTAGGGTTAAGCCCTTGCTCGGGGCCGTTTGCAATCCCGAATATTGCACGCAAGTAATTGGCCCACGCGCAACAGTGGCTTCCCCGTTTCTCGTTTGTCTCTCTCCGTTTTCCCGCTTGCCCACGCATTTCGCTGCTGTTTTATTCTGCTGGACCAATTATTCGCGTCACTCTTAAAGCCATACTTTGATTAAAGATGGACTCTGAGCAACGCTTTCGCATGCTTTTCAGCTCAAACTGTGCACACACACACACACACACCGTGGTGTGCCCTTAACCCCCTATTTTTTCCCTTCCCTCGAGCCGGAGCCGCCCTTCCGCGCCCCTCCCCCTTCATTGATTTTCAACTCCCCCACCCACTCCCCACAGCAGCCCGGTCCGTGGCGTGGCGCGGCGTAGCGCGTCGTAGCGTAGTCCCAGCGTGGCTCAGCGCCACACCCGCGCCGTGCCCGGCCGTGCCCCGGCGATGGTCCTCAGGATGCAGGTGAGATTTGGGCCCCCCGGCCTTGACGGCACGCCTAATCAGTAAGAAACTGGGCTGCCAGTGTGGTGCTCCGCACTGCTCCACACTGGGAACGGGTAATTTTAGCTCGCTGCAGGTGAGGCTGGGTCACTGGACGGCAGCATCCGATAGCGGCACAGACCACTAGAAATTCCAAGAGGCCAGACAGGGGGAAGGGGAGGCCTGTCTAGTTGGCTAAAAAGGGGAGGGAATGGGGAGCTAAAAACAGAAATGATCTTTACTCAGATAAATTCCTACAAAGAACTGCTCGTTGTGTACAAAGAAAACGAAGGCTTCGCAGCCTTCGAAGGAAATCGTTTGTAATACAAATAGTTTTGCTTGTAATGCAAAGAAAAAAATCCTTCGTTGCAAACAATTTCCCTCGTAGGCTGCGAAGCCTTCGTTTTCATTGTATTCCAACGATCAGTTCTTTGTAGGGATCTAAGAGTGTAGAAGATGCTTTGAGGGGGTGAAAGGTTCAGTATGGCTGAGATAAGGTGCATTTCTAGGACGATCATGTGCAAAATGCAGGC